TTTTGCCTCTTTAATATACCCCTTTAACATTTTTTAAACAAAACTGATTATATAAAACAGAGATTTCTCTTTAGTGAACAACTACAGAATTCTGAGGGCCAACTCTATGTGGTTAGAGATACACTTAATATTGATATTGCTGAAAGGGACAAATGGTTAACCATTTCAATGTGTTCAAGAATATCATGGGTTTTTTAAACCACCTTTGTCTGACTTGAAGACCCTCTATCTGTGGGGGAGGGAAGGAATCCAATTCCAGTGGTTTCTGGGCCTTCCCTCACCTCCCCAGGGTTTCATGAGTTCTGGAAGCTTTATGTGGCCCCAGGACAAACAAGCCTCTCCTCTCCTGTCCATCATAGTCACTGTGGCTCTCTTGACCCACACCTCTTTGCTTCTGTTCTATCTATTGCAAGAGGCTTATCTCTCTTCTCCCTTCTTCTCTTTATTCCACATTCAAACTGTAATCTGCCCACTGCTACAAAAAAGCAGTTACAGGGCCAGCCCGGTGGCGCACTGCTACAGTGTGCTGCTTGGGAGTGCGGCGGCGCTCCCGCTGAGGGTTCGGATCCCACATACAGACTGGCCGCTCACTGGCTGAGCAAGGGGTGCAACACCGAGGGTTGCGATCCCGTTGCCGGTCACGAAAAAAGACAAAAAGGAAAAAAAAAAAAAAGCATTTACACACTGGTATGCGCAGAAAGCTGCCTGGCTTGCTCTATTTAATTATATGATCAACATTTCCCTTATTTTTTCATCATTACTGAGAAAGCCCTCTACAAATGATAATTTCCTTTTCCCCTACTCAGACCAAAGGGAAGAAAAAGGAGATTAAATTCTACGTAGCTTATCAGATCTCTCTCTCTCTTTTTTTTTTTCCTAATAGAGACAGGAAAGATTTGAAAAGCTTATATAGTCCTACAGAGATAGTTTTAAAATTCCTCTCTACCTCCACAATATCTTCTTCATTTACCATCCTTTCTTCACCTTTACCCTGTTGTTGGAATGAGCAGGACTGAAGCCATGTTGGAAACTAAAACTGCCTGGGCTGCGGGAAAAATATTTAAAGGGACACAGTTGTTTTCTCCTCTTTTTTTCTGTCCCCTGACTTTCTTATCTTGCTTGCTACAAAGAAAAACAAGGTGGTTGAAAAGCTAATTAGTGCCTTGCAAAACTAACAGTTCTTTTTCGAGGCTTGCAGAATTCTGAGATGTGATCAAGATATGGAAGCTGACTCTGGGCACCAGCAAAGTCAGCCACAGCCCTGCAAAACTACACAGAGACTTTGCAAAGAAGCTGACTTCAAAATCCTGCGGGACCCTAGGATAACGTCAAAGATGAGAACAGAAACCACATGGAGACTTGGAGAGACTTTGCACCCAGCTCCTTGCATGGAGCCCCCATAGCTCCCATCCCCCTCTCTCCTGCTTTTCACTTCCTACATTCTGTTCCCTCAGTCCCCTCTTTAAAAACCCCTCAGTAAATCTGAGTGTTAAGATGGGCTAGTCTACCACCACCTCCTTCAGGTTACTGTCCTGAATAAAACTGGCTTCCTTTATCACCAACATTCGAGTTTTGAATCTTTTGTTTGTTTAGGTGGAGGGCAGCCAGACTTGGGTTTGGTAACACTGTTGTTTTAATTTACAGTATAATTAAGTTTGTAATTCAATCAACACATATTTATTGGATTTCTTTTTTGCTTGTACTCCTGAGCTGAGTACCCTATTTTCCTCCCAATTTCTAATTGAGAAATGCCAGCAGAGAACTTCATTCAGATGCCTCTGGATGTACAAGCACCTTCTTGCCTACAATGTTCCAATTGCTACTCTTACAAATGCTCTACTTAATGAAGAGGCCAATTGGAATAATTTAGACCAGAAACTAAACTAATGGTTTGAGAATCTGAAATATCATAGTTTCTCTCTCTCTCTCTCTCTCTCTCTCTCTATTGAATCTATCAAGCAAATAATTGCAAAATATCCACTTAGTGCTGTGTTTATACATTCTGAAGAAAACGTAATTAGCTTTATCTATAGTACATTCTGCTCTTGAAAACAAAGATTTAAAATTAAAAAACAAAGGAATTTTAAAAAATTGTTTTATTTAAATATATAATTTCATTTAACAATCAGGGCAACTCCAAAGCTAATGAATGAGACCATAATATGTATGTTACATTTAGTTCATTGTTGTTTTAAGAAACTTAAATATTTCTTAAATGGGGGGGCTCTTAAAAGGGAGAACCAATCAGCTGTGTTTTCATGCAAATAGAACTAAAATTAGAAATCATTCATAGATAAGTGACTATGAAAATCTATTCAAATTTATTCAGCCTTTCCTAATTAAAAAATGCATTTTGTATTGGGCTCAACATTCTGTTCTGGTAATGTAAGGGGGAGCATCATCTAAGGAGTTTACGTGGTAGTGACTTTGCTATAACCTCATAAACAATTTAATACTCCAGTATTAGTGGGTGCTTTAACTTCAAAGTCCTAGAGTTTTAAGGAGAGTGAGTAAAAAAATTTCAGGGTGTTCTTTTAATTACCTAACCATGACACTGAAACAAACTCTATTTTTCACATTAAAAACAATGACAATGGGCCGGCCCGGTGGCGCACTGCTACAGTGCGCCGCTTGGGAAGTGCGGCGGCGCTCCCGCCGAGGGTTCGGATCCCACATACAGACTGGTTCCCGCTCACTGGCTGAGCGAGGCGCGGGAGCAACACCGAGGGTTGCGATCCCGTTGCTGGTCCCGGTCCGGTACGGGGGCGACACTGAGGGTTGCGATCCGTTGCCGGGCATGGAAAAAGACAAAAAGGAAAAAAAAAAAAAAAACAATGACAACAACCTCACCTTCCCCTGCCTCCACTTCTCCCTCTAGTTACTGCCTCCTCTCTTCCTCATCACAGCTAAACTTCTCAAGAGCTTGCTGTACACATTCTCTCTCTTTCCTCTCCATCCCTTCTAATTTGACTTTCACCCCATCAACCAAAACAGCTTTTTCCATGTACCCTTTTCAGTCTTTATTTTATCCAGTTTCTCCCTTCTTGAAACACTCTTCTCATGCTTCCATACTCTCCTGGTTTTCCCTCACCTCCAGGGTCTCTTTTGTAGATTCTTGCATATGGCTGTTACACGTTAAAATTTCTCAAAGCTCAAGCTCTAGGCCCCCCTTTCTTCTCACTTCCTAACCTTTACTGAGGCAATCTCATCCATTTCTATGCCAACAACTCTCAAATTTACGATTCCTTCCCAAACTTCTCTGAGCTCTTGATCTGTGTATACAACTGTACACTCTCCATCCCCACTTGGAGATCTCAAACTCAACATGTTCCGAATGGAATCATGATCTTCACTCCTCCATGCCTGTGTTTGATATCTTGGTGAATGGTAATGTAATCCACTAAGCTGCATAATACAGAGACCTAGGGATTGGTTTTAAAACTCTCTTCCCCTTAGCTGTGCCCCCATTCCCTACATAGTATCCAGTACATTACCAATCCCTTCTAAATATCTCTCAGATCCACCCATATCTCTGCATCTGCTGCTCTAATTCAAGTTAGTATCTTTTTCTCACTGGACGACTACAGTAACCACCTAACTGGCTTCATACATTCCTCTTTTCTAGCTCTATCTGTCCCCCCACACACACACTATAACCAGAAAAATCCAAGTCTGATCAAGCCACTTGGATGCTTAAAACCCTTCAATCACTCAGCATTGCTTGCAGCAGAAAGATCATAATCTGACCACCTCTCCAGCCCTGTTTTGCATCAGGCACCCTCTTGCTCTCTCTATTCTTGGCACACTAACTTACTTTCAGTTGCTTTAATATGCCATGTTCCTTTTCAACCACATAGTCTAGCACAGCTGTTTACCTTGTTTGAACATATTCTCCTGGGTCCTCCTCGGGTTACCTGGGTAACTCCTACTTAATCAACCAGATATAAGCACACTTAATCAACCAGATATAAGCACACTTTCCCACAGAAGACTTTCCTGACCCCTGAGACTGAATCAAATCCCAAGGTTCTACACTCTCATAACACCCACTTTCTCTTCATAGAAATTATCATCATTTATATTTATATATTTTGTTGAATAATAATTTCATTAATGTTTGCCTTGCCCACTAATCTGTTTGTTCAGTGAGAGCAGAGACTATATGTATAATTGTTACCATTGTATCCTTATTAAAGCCTAATGCAGTGCCTGGCACATAGTAGGCACTTAATAAAAGTTTGTTGACTGAACAAAGGAAATGAATACATGAAGGTCATAGTGACTTGCCCAAGGTGGCAAGGCTGAGACCACAGCCAGGTATTCTAATTTCCTGTCCAGATCACCACCATCTCAACAAAGAGCTTGTCCTGGATTTTGTTCTAAATCACTGGAAGCAAAGCAACTTTCCTACTCATCAAGTCCAATTTCTTGCTCGACCCTACTGTTTTCTACAAATGGCATTTATTCAGCAAGGGAATGCTGTAGGTATAGTAATTTTTCTTTTTTCCATGAAACATACTATTTTGTTGCTCTATTTTGAAGGGATATTATGATAAACCATACCACTAATTAAAACTTGTAAATCTGCTTGAGATTCTCAGAAGAAATGCAAGGTATAGGTCAAAAAGAGCAATTTTGCCTCTTGCAATAGAATTTCCTGTCCAAAAAAATGCTAGCAGTATAATTTCCTGTTCAAAAAATCCTATTAAGTCTCCAAAAGTGTGTTCTATTAGGTGGGATAATCATCATCATATTCCCAGGTTCTGTATATACCTTCTCTTAAAAGTGAAAAAGGAGAAAGCCACTTTCCTGTATGGAAGTGCCTGTGTGTTTTATAAAATCCACATAAAAAGTTCAGTTGTTCAAAGAGAGGCAGCTGCATTTACAAGACAAATAGATTCAATATTAGCCATGAAGAAGCTTGAAGATCCACTCTCAGGGGTCTTTGTGCTGTGGATGAAAATGCAGTCATTATTTTTGAACTCCCCATGCTCACGTCAATGACTCCCACCTGCAGCCGATCTCCTTGCAGATTGTAGGCAGTGTAACCTACAAGGGCCAGCCGAAGTCAAACTCCTGCTAAGCTTTATTAGCCCTTTGTATACATTTCAGTTTCCATTCACATCTTGGGAGGAAGGTAATCTCTACTCACACTGGTGTGATACTTGTCTGTCTGTCTCAGACATGTGTGTAAGGTGCTTTTCTCAGATTAGGGTATCTGAAGTCTTTTCTTTTTTTAAGACTGCTGTCTTAAGACTTTTAAGTAATTTACATTTTGGTTTTTGCTGTTGTTTTAAGAATTGCACTTTCTTTGGAAACAACAACATGCATTTTTTTTTCAAGATGAAAAAGGCATACTCAGACTTTATAAGTTATGTTCATGATTGCTTTGCTTATCATGTATAATGTTCTGATCACCAGGGACTACTTTAAGCTAATCAACTGGATTTTGTGGGCTTCATTTGCAAATGAATCTGGAAAAAAGATGGCTGCAAAATTTAGGTGAGCCAGTATACTATTTCCCCTTCCTTGTCTGCCTATCCAGATGTTTCCTTTTTCTCTCTTGCCTCTTTGACTATCTGTGTCAGTGACCAGCAACAGTCCCCTGATCCTCCTTTCACTCAGCTTCATTCCACCATGTCCAAAGCACCCCTTCTGCTGCTGTGTCTTGCCCTGGTGCTACCTGAGCATATGCACAGAGCCATGCTGAGAAATGAAGACAAATGGAAGTCACTCAACAACCCCAGAAACCGAGACCGGGTAAGAACACATCTGGGGTGTGCTGGGTTGCGGGGTAGAACTGGCATCTCTGGAATTATGCACACTGTGGTCTGTATTCAAGAGTTGAGGAGATTCCCTAATAGGACCGAACCAGGGTTTCACTATGGCCAATTTACATTTGTTTCTGTAAGGAGAAACAAATTTATATTTAGAAATGGTCTTATACACACAACACATGACATTTGTAAATGATTTTATATACATATTGACTTTATAACCTTGATTTCTAATACATAAGCAAAATCAAGAGTGTAACAGGGAATTGCTTTTTGCACCATTTAACTGATGATAAAGCTGATTATCGAATAACCATCACTTGCAAAGCTCAATTGCAAAAACTGGAAGTTGACCCTGCCTGGTTATCAATTTACTAAGCATATTTTCAACATACAGTTATCCAGAAAATACAATTCAAACATTAGTAAAAATCCTCTTTACAAAAATGTACCAACTATAATAAACCTGTTGACATGACTATTTCATAAATAGTCTATTTCATAATTAGTCTAATAGACTAAATAGAGTTTTTCTAAAGAAAATGATGTGAAATATGACAATATAGGATTAAAATACTCAAACAGCACTTTGCTCAGCTTTTATGTGTTCATTTCCTAAAGGAAATATGAAAAACCCATGTCTGAAAGGAAACTTGGAGAAGGCAGTGACTGGGATCTGACCTTCAGGCAGAAGTGCTGATCATTGTGTTCAGTTTCATCTCTGACCTCTGTATTCAGAGATTGTTTACAATGAACCCTCTGATTGTGGTGCTGTTAAATAATTGATATTCCTCCCTTGATTTTCCCCAACAATGGTGAATTATCTTGTTTAGGATTGAAATGTCAGAAAGAAGGCTGGGGGAAGTGGAGCAGAAGTAGCTGAAATTTTTACTTCTATTTCTGAATTTTCAACTTCGTGCCTACTTTATTAGACCTGAAGTCAATTCAGGGGAAAAACAGAGAGGTAAAAAAGAATTTATTATTGAATATTTTTTGTCTTTTATTTATACATATATAAATTATATTGTATGTTATATTACATATTATAATATAAATTACATATTATATTATATAAATTATATTAACATTTTCTTTCTCTCTTTAGTTTTTCAGAAGCTTTCAGGCATATTTTAAGGGTAGAGGTCTTGCTCTTGAGAGGTTTTCAGATACTTTCTCCATCAGTGAGAATCCCAGACCTCTCTCTTTCCCATTAGAACTTATTGCTTCTGCATTTGTAGATTACGAAGAACAGAAAAATTCATTTCCCAATAACCTCAACAGCTGAGAGTTTCTTCAGAGCTCAAGTAAAGTATGTCCCTTTATTCCCAGGATCTTCCCTAACATACAACTCAGTTGTAAAGTAGAGATTTTGAAAGTACATATTTGAAAAAATAATTTTATTTCCTCATAGAAATAAGTGCTCAATTCTGATTATACTCATTACTATTAAATATTTGGATCAGGTTCAGGTATTTTATGGTCTGGTTTTAAAAAGAAATGATAGTTATGATTTTTTAAGCATGGTTTCTTTAGGAGAAATATATTAAAATAGTAGAAATTATCAATCTTAATAGGATTATTAAATTAATGAAATAGCACTCTCTGTTACCTATATCTTTTTCAGACTAGGTCATATAGCTAAATTATGTGGAAAATCTTATATAAAGAAATATGTCAAGTTGAGCAGTTGGATTAAATATGAAATAGAAATTAAAGGAATGGCTCTTTGGGGGACAAAGTATTATGCGTGTGTTTGAGCTTGAACTTCCTCATCTAGAGAGAGAAAAAAGGGTAGTATATTAGTAAAGATGGCATTTTTCTCCTAAAAAATTGAAAATTTATGTTTAAGATTTCAATTTTATTATTATTACTTTAGCATTCCTATCAAATAAGTATCTACCACTTAAAAAGGAACAGGTATGATGAATTTCAAGCAAATACATTATGATTCTAGTCCATTAGCTTTTTGTACGGCTGAATCATAAGGGAAAAGGAATCATAATTAAAAATCTTGTCCCATTCTTCCACAAGTTTATAGATGACATTGTGAGGAAGCATACCACCATTGTATGTGATTGTGGTTTTGAAAGGTTTTTATTGTTAGTTATTTTAAATGTGAAGATTAAAAAAATAATGATTGTTATTCTAAAAAGAAGATGCAATTTATTGTATGGAATATGCACTTGAACATTGTCCTAAAATGGAATAAACAGAAAATGTTAATGAAGGTTGCTCCTGACTATTTTCCACACTTGGGCCCTAAAGTATCAGACACTAAAACAGAGAATAGTTATTAATAGTATAATACCTAATTTCATATGAAGCAGATATGTTGCTTGTATGCTTTAGTTTCTTCATCTATAAATCGCCAGTACCAATCTCTATCTCATAGAAAGTATCATAGAAAATAAATAAATACTTTCATGTGAGATGGAGTGAGGTAGTGTTTAAGGGCAAGAAACAGAAAGTACCCAGTTGGTGGTCTTGCCATACATTAGGAATTACTCAACTTTGTGAAAGAAGCAGAGCTTCTGATTTGGAAAGTATTTCATAATTCAAGCTCTACATTGCTATCATCTTTGACTAGAAAATGAAGACAGAAAGATTTTTCACTGAAATATGCTGATTTGGGAATTTTTGTGTTGATCCTATTATCTTCATTTTCTATTTCATTTTAACATTTCCTTGTTCTTTCAGGTGTCTGGCTATTTTAAAACTACAGATGAAGAGTCTAATTAGAAAAATTTAGGGCCAGCCCGGTGGCGCACTGCTACAGTGCACCGCTTGGGAAGTGCGGCGGCGCTCCCGTCGAGGGTTCGGATCCCACATACAGACCGGCCGCTCACTGGCTGAGCAAGGTGCGGGAGCAACACCGAGGGTTGCGATCCCATTGCTGGTCCCGGTCCGGTACGGGTGCAACACTGAGGGTTGCGATCCGATGCCGGTCACGAAAAAAGACAAAAAAAAAAAAAAAAGAAAAGAAAAATTTAACCATAGTTGCAGCTAAATTTTCTTGTCCCCCCCCTCCATTTTTATTTGTCAATTTGCAATGATTTTATTCCACATTTCCAGATTTACATATAAATATCTGGACCTTTGTGACATATGTGACTTATGTGCATATTTTTGGAGTGTTTATTCCCTCTACAACCTTAAATATTGACATAGAGCACTGCATGAATTTGTAGGAGTTACAAAAACACCACACAAGGAAAAGACAGGATAATCTTTCAAATTGGTTGTTTTCTTTAAGCTTTTTTTTTTGTGATCAGTATAGTTTTATTTATAATATAAGCTTGTCTTTTAAACTTGTCTTTTATGTTTATTACCTTTTATCAATCCATATATATTTTTTTTCCTTTTTGTCTTTTTTCGTGTCTGGCAACGGATCTCTGTTGTAATTAGTTGTATATGTGTCTGTTTTCCCTGGAGGGTTGTGAGGTCTTTGTGAGCAGAGACCAAACCTAGTTCATCTTTATTTTCTCAGCACCCAGAATAATGCCTAGCATGTACCAAGTGTTCAATAAATACTTGTTGAATCGAAGTAAACGTGTGTTATTCTGCCGTTCTTCACACAGTGATGGAAGTGGCTTTTACTTAATGTCAAGATTATTTTTTATGTCTTAAAAAATGTAAGTAATTATTAATGATGTAGTCCTCATAAAAGTATAACTATTCAGATAAAAGTAGAGTGGTAGGGAGTGTTTTACCACCTTGTTTCCACTGAAGTACTAGTGACTAGTGTTCCCTCTCTCACCATCATCTGCTCTTGGTGTGAAGACCTCCACAAAGGGAATCCTTATCAGTTTTAGGGCCTTTGAAAAGAAAGAGCATCCACATGGGACTTTTAGCTATGAGCTTTCAAAATCTCAGGGAAGGGGCATGCATCCTTCAGCTGGAAAATTCCTCAGTTGGCAGTAGCTGTTGATGGAATCTTGTACTCAACACTAACTAGAGTTCCTTAATGGTAGCGCTATTGGCAGTTGGCAGAAGACAAGTCTTCACTGTGTGTGACCATTTAGCACACCTGGTTCCCAGACAGGGCATGCTAGTAGTTCCCCCACTTCTGCCCTATCATTTTGACAACTGAAACCTCCCTACACATATTTCTAAATGCCCACTGGGCAAGTGATTTTGCTCTTGCTTGATGACTGTTGCTAGGAAAATAGCAGAAGTGTAGTGTTTTCTCCAATGGAAATAAATGCTCTGCAGGCATTCTAAGCAATCAAGGGGTCCATGGTACTTCTCTAGATAGGTCATTGGCAGCCTCTCAACACTGACTTTGCTCCTTTCATTGAGTACTCCATTCCCCAGGATATGGCATATTTTCCCCTGCTTTAGATCTCGGGTGGTCAAGAACTGTTGAGTGTGAGGTTTTATCCTACGTGTAAGTGACACAGTGGCCTTTTATATTTTCCGTGATCCCGGCACACATATGAGACCTCTGGGTCTGAGACAACTGACTTTATTACTCATGGTGCAGCAGGCAGCATGAGTTTTACATTCACACGTGTTCTTATCCCCCAAGTATCAAGGGGGCCATGTGTCCAGGGGTATGCTGTGCACATGTGGGTTTGTGCCAAAGCTGAGGAACCCCAAACTTAGGAAACTCCCATTCGTATATGGGATTGCTAGGAAACATGCCCAACCTTTGCTCCATAGGGAAACATTATCTGTATTACACTGGTCAGAAAACAGATTTGCTCCCTGCCCCAGCAGGAGACAATATCTCTATCTCTCAAGGCAGTTTGCTCTACAAACATCCTTAAAAAGATAGTTCAGGGGCCGGCCCGGTGGCGCACTGCTACAGTGCGCTGCTTGGGAGCGCGGTGGCGCTCCTGCCGAGGGTTCGGATCCCACATACAGACCGGTTCCCGCTCACTGGCTGAGCGAGGTGCGGGAG